CGACCTCACGGGATCTCTGACTTCTTTCTGGGTGGCGGCGGTCGCGGTGGCTGCTGCTCTGAGGGGCGACACCTGAGCGCGCGCCTAAGTATTTTATTTTTTGCATGTGGAGCTACAGTTGTCTCAGCAACATTTGTTGAAAAGACTATTGTATTAGTCCATTCTTGAATTACTATAAAGAACTACCTGAGAATGGGTGATTTAAGAAGAAAAGAAGTATAACTGACTCAGTTCTGCAGGCTGTATAGGAAGCATGGCTGGGGAGGCCTCAGGAAACTTTAAATCATGGCAGAAGGCGAAGGAGAAGCGGGTACAGAGAGAGACAGAGAGACAGAGAGAGAAAAAATTGGGAGAGAACACATGCTTTCAAACAACCAGATCTCATGAGAACTCTATCATGAGAATAGCAAGGGGAAGCCTTCCCCCATGGTTCAGTTATCTCCCACGAGGCCTCTTCTCCCACACTGGGGATTACAAGTCGACATGAGAGTTGGATGGAGACACAAAGCCAAACCCTGTTAACTATCTTTTTCCCTACTGAGATCTTGGCACTTTTGTTAAAAATCAGTTGACTACTGGCAGCAAACTCAAGACTACTTAAAAAACAAAATCAACTGTCATAAATGTAAGGGTTTATTTCTGGCTTCTCACTGTTATTCTCTTGATCCGTAAGTCAATCCTTATGCTAGTTCTACATTGTCTCTTTTTTTTTTTTTGAGACAGTCTCACTCTGTTTCCCAGGCCGGAGTGCAGTGGCGCGATCTCTGCTCACTGCAACCTCAGCCTCCCAGGTTCAAGTGATTCTCCTGCCTCAGCCTCCCCAGTAGCTGGCATTACAGATGTGTGCCACCGTATGTGGCTATTTTTTGTATTTTAATAGAGATGGGGTTTCACCGTGTTGGCCAGGCTGGTCTCAAACTCCTAACCTCAAGTGATCCACCCACCTCAGCCTCCCGAAGTGCTGGAATTACAGGCGTGAGCCGCTGCGCCTGACCAGTTTCACATTGTCTTGATTTCTATAGCATTATAGTAAGTTTGAAACTGGATAGTATAGTCTTTTTTTTTTTTTTTTTTTTTTTTTTTAAAAAAATTTTTTTTTTTTTTTTTTTTTTTTTTTTAAAAACAGGTTCTTGCTCTGTCTTCCAGGCTAGAGGGTACAGTGGTACCATCTCACCTCGGCTCACTGAAACCTTAACTTCCCAGGTTCAAGCAATTGTCCTGCCCCAGCCTCCTGAGTAGCTTGAGATTGCAGGCGCCCGCCACCATGCCCGGCTGATTTTTATATTTTTAGTAGAGACGGGGTTTTACCATGTTGCCCAGGCTGGTCTCAGTTCAAACTCCTGACCTTGGCCACCTTGGCTGATCCACCCACTTCGGCCCCCTAAAGTGCTGGGATTACAGGCATGAGCCACCGTGCCCAGCGTGGGTCATATAAGTCTTTTAACTTTATTCTTTTTTAAAAAATTATTTTCACTGTTCTGGGTTCTTTCCATTTTGTATGAATTTTAGGATCAGCTTGTCAATTTTTACAAAATTAAAAAAAAAAAACCTTCTGGGATTCAGACAGGGATTGCATTGAGTCTGAAATCATCTTCTGGTGCATAAATTTTGCCAACTGTTGATGAGCATCTGGCTCTTTTCTTCTTTCACTCAGTGGGCGATGTCGTACTTGGTCATGTCCATGTAAAGCGTTTTTGTAGATAAGAACCTATACCTAAGAGTGGAACTGTCCTGTACCTCTTCAACTTTTCCAGATAATGCTAAGTTATTTTCCATAGTAGCTGGTGCCAACATACACTTGTAGTAGCATGTGGGTATGTGAGAGTCTGTGCTATTCAATGTTCTACCACCATTTGGTATGAGTAGATTTTCTATTTTAATTTTTCTAGTCATATTTTCTTGTGGTTTTAATTTGCAGTTCCTCGCTTACTAATAAAATGAGCATCTTTTCATGCACTTAGAGGCTGTTGGGGTTTCCTTATTTGTAAAATGCCCTTTGTTGATTTCGTATGCCCGTTTTTCCATTTTGTTATCTGTATTTTTTGTATTGAGTTTTTGGATTTTTAAAACGTATTCTGGATTGTAATGGTCTACTTCCTTCCTTCCCACTCAGCCACAGGTCATCTTTGAATGTATGCATTTGTTCTGGCTATTCTATTTTTTCTAACCTTTTTTTTTTTTTTTTGAGACAGGTTCTTGCTCTGTCTCACATGCTGGAGTACAGTGGGGTGGTCTTGGTTCACTGCAACCTCTGCTTTGTTTGCTCAAGTGATTTTCCCACCTCTGCCTCCTGAGTAGTTAGGGCTTCAGGTACATACCATCATGCCAGGATAATTTTTGTATTTTTTGTAGAAACTGAGGTCTCACCACATAGCCGAGGCTGGTCTCAAACTCCTGGGGTCAAGCAATCTTCCTGCCTCAGCTTTCCAAAGTGCTGGGATTACAGGCGTGAGCCACCATGCTCAGCTGGGATTTGTATTTTTAATGCATACCTGGGGTACCTGATTCTTAGACAAATTTAGGAAGTGGCACCAAAGCTTTAAAAACTGTGACATCTTCAAAACAGTAATTTAAAAAGTACCTTCAATTCATAAGATCATTATAGCTTTAACTTTGAATTAAAAACAAGATCTTGTTCCTGTTTTCCTTTATAAAATATATGTCCTATGAAACCAGCTTGGGAGAAAATCAATGCACAGATGTTTGGGAAGCCCCAGCTGTGTTTAATTTGAAATCTTCTGTTTAAAATCTCTCTCTCTCACCTCACCAGTAGGCAGTAACTCATCTCTGAAAGACCGTGCAACCCCAGCTCTGGGTAGAACTCAGAGATGTCACATCCCTGGAACCGAGAACTGTGTATTGTAAACAGTCTCTAAGATTTGGAGTTGTTAGTTTTTTCCAGCCTTGAAATCTCATGGGGCAGTTGTTTAAGTTGGAACTCTCACAAAGGGCATACGAAAATCACAAAGTAAGGCATCAGGAAATGGAATTCTACATACATCCAATTGCCATGTTTGGTGTCAGCACTATTGTTTTTACAGCTTACATTCCTGCCCCCACCTCCCCCCATAACATCTGGGCTGTAAGAGGATGTTTCGCAAATCAGATACGTTGTTTACTTTTAGGGGTGTAATGCTATGGAGAAGCTTGGTGACTCTAACAATGTAGATATTGGGTAACAACACCAAACTGAAAACACGTGTCAAGCTATCTTTTGACATGGTGAACATTCTCGCTATTCTCTGCATGTTGGAATTGCTTATTAAATAATCCTTTCTAAATGTCTGAACATCTTTTTTTATTTTTAAGTGACTTTTTTTATGAGAGTCAACCATGGGGTGATGAAATGTAGCAAAGTTATTTAATTCCTTATGCTGACTTTTGAATTTATAAAGACTTCAGGGCATGGCATTAAATTTAGTTCTTCAAAATAGAAAGAGTTTTTCTGTTTCTGATGATAAAAGATGACTTAATCTAGGGTGTTTGGGGCCACATTGTGTGACTTTGGTCTTCTATTAAGAGTCCTGAGGCTGGGTGCAGTGACTAACTTTGGGAGGCCGAGGCGGGCAGATCACGAGGTCAGGAGTTTGAGACCAGCCTGACCAATACGGTGAAACCCCATCTCAACTAAAAATACAAAAATTAGCTGGGCATGGTGATGTGTACTTGTAATCCCAGCTACTTTGGAGGCTGAGGCAGGGGAATCACTTGAACCTGGGAGGTGGAGGTTGCAGTCAGCCAAGATCGTGCCATTGCACTCCAGCCTGGGCAATAGAGTGAGACTCTATCTGGGGAGGGGGAGGAAGAGTCCCGAACACTCAATAGCAGATGAGTGCCCCCCGCAAAAAAAAAAGAGTTACAAACACGTTAGCCAGGTGCAGTGGCTCATACCTGTATTTCCAGCACTCTAGGGGGCCAACGTGGGATGATTTATTGAGGTTAGGAGTTCAAGAGCAGCCTGAGCAACATAGTGAGAACCTGCCTCTAAAAAAAAAAAAAAAAAAAAAAAAAATTAGCCAGCCATGGTGGTACATGCCTGTAGTTCCAGCTGCTCAGGAGACTGAGGTGGGAGGATTGCGTGGGCCCAGGAGTTCATGGCTGCAGTGTGCTGTGATTGCACCAGTGCACTCCAGTCTGAGTAACAGAGCAAGACTTTATCACTAATAAAATAATAGTAACATTTTAAAAAATTAAACGAAGAGTCCTGAACATGGCTGCAACCCTTTGGCCTGAATGAGATTGTAGAATTCAGCAATTCCCTGCAAAGCTGAAATGTTCTCAGCATGGAAGGTCATATTTCCAGAGTAACATGTATTCATTGAACTTATTATGTTCCTTTTAGGGGGGAGTTTAGGAGTGAGCATAAATAATCAGTGTGAGTTTTTGAAGCCTTGGGGATTTACTTATGGGGTAATTTCTTAGAAAAGAATGTTTAAGGATCCTGATCACCCTGAAATAAACAGAAGAAGCCAGCCTGCAAAGCAGTCGAGCAAAGATGGGGTCACAGACGAGGACTCTGAGGGAGAGACATGTCATTCAATTCTCTCAGTGGCTTTGAGTGCTTCCTGCTTCAGTATACAAGCAAGATCCTTTTGGATAAGGCTTTCCTAGAACAAGGTGATAGTGTATTTCCTTAAGAGGCTATGTTATGGTCTGGGTGCAGTGGCTCATGCTTGTAATCCCAGCACTTTGGGAGGCTGAGGTGGGAGGATTGCTTGAGGTTGGGAGTTTAAGGCCAGCCTGGGCAACTTAGCAAGATCCTGTCTCTAAAAAAAAAAAAAAGAAGGAAAAAAAGAGACTGTTGTGAGCAGAGTCCAGCTCCCTTTGTCAGAAGCATAGTGGTTTAGCCTGTCGTTCGGTGCTCAGTGCCTAGCACAGGCCTTGGCACTCAGTAAGTACCTCAGTTTGTTTATAGAAACCATTAATTTTTCAGGCCTGGAGAGTCCTTACCCATACGAGCCATGCCGGAGTGAATTTTCCCTTCTTTTCTCTTTTTTTAGTGTTCAAAGCTTCTTTCAGACACCAGTGTTATTCAGTTCTACCCAAGCAAATTTGTGCTTATCACCGACATACTTGACACATTTGGTAAGTACCTGTCATATGCATCTTAGATCTAGGAAATGTGTTTGTTTTGTCAAGAACTGGGTGGTAGAGTTTCTGTAAATTAGGCTCTGCTGTGGTTTAAGTTACTGGGTAAGTCAAGAGAGAGACCAAACCATCCTCCTCATGCCCATTAATAAGTGTGCTATTTTTGAAACATTCTAAAAGTTGATTTTTTCTTCTTTTTTTTTTTTTTTTTTTTTTTTTTTTTTTTTTTTTTTTTTTTTTTTTTTGAGTCAGGGTCTTGCTCTGTCATCCAGACTGGAGGGCAGTGACACAGTCACACTGCAGTCTCGAACTCCTGGCCTTAGCCATCTTCCTGCCTCAGCCTCCTGAGTAGCTGGGTCTATAGGCTTGTGCCACCATGCCCAGCTCTTTTTTTTGGTAGAAACAGAGTCTGGCGATATTGCCCAGGCTGGTTTCAGACTCCTAGCCCCAACTGATCTTTCTGCCTTGGCCTCCCAAAGGGCTGGGATAACAGGCATGAGCCACTGTGCCTGGCCTATTTTTCTTAATCTTTTGATAGACTAGTAAAGTGAATTAGTGAAGCAGGGCAGGCTGAGGCCACTAAGCAGCATGGGTCCCTTGCCATCTCCCGGGCACCTGAAACTGAATCTGGCATCTGTTCCCAGCCCTTTCCCTTTTCCCAATGAGTTTCTGTCTCTGCGAATCGCACCACTATGTACCCAGTTGCCTGAGCTGAGAATATGAGCATCTTCCCCCACGTGCCCATGTCCAGTCACCCAGTTCTTTGGTTCAGCCTCCTACAGCTCTTCCCAGCATGTCCATTTTTCTCTTTCTTCACTGTTTTTTTTTTTTTTTAATTTTTGGAGTCAAAGTCTGTGTCGCTCAGGCTGGAGTGCAGTGGCATGATGCTGGCTCACTGCAACCTCCGCCTCCGGGGTTCAAGTGATTCTCCTGCCTCAGCCTCCCGAGTAGCTGGGATTACAGGTGTGCGCCACCACGCCTGGCTAATTTATGTATTTTTAGTAGAGACAATGTTTCACCATGTTGACCAGGCTGGTCTCAAACTCCTGACCTCAAGTGATCTGCCTGCCTTGGCCTCCCTAGGTGCTCGGATGACAGGCATGAGCCACTGTGCCCAGCCTCATTGTTAAACTTTAATCCCAGCCACAGTCCTCTCCCATCTGGATGCCTTCTTGTGTCACCTCACAGGTGGAGTGATCTTTTGGAGCCAGGTAGAAAGGTATAGACCAAAAAGAATAACCTGGAGGATCGGGGGGCCCCTTTGCTGCTTGGCAGTGGTTAGTTAAGCCAGAACATTGTGCCGTTAGCAGGTTGCTCAAACCACACAGGTCTCTAAGCTGTGTATGATTTGCCCCACAGCGAGGACCCCACCAGAACTAGGAAATAGGGTGCCGTCTGGGAGCTGAACACGTGGAATATCAGAACAGAGACATTCACTGTCTTACCAAGGAGAGACCAGTGGGCTCCCAACCCAGCAAGTCTTATCTGTAACCCATTGAAAGATATAATGTGTCAGAAAGCCAACTGTCAATCTGAGAAACCCATTCATTTCTGTGCATCCCAGTCCTGTCCAAGAGACTGGAGACCTAAGTGTGCTAGCTAAAACAAGTGATAGGAAAGCTAACTAGCCTTGGAAAAGGGGGTATTTATTGGCTTATGCTGAAAAGTCCAGGAGGTGCATCTGGATCCAGGAACCCAAACAGTGCCTTTAAGACCTTGCCTTTGGGCCTGGCATGGTGAGTCACACTTGTAACCCCAACTCTTGGCTGAGCATGGTGGCTCACACCTGTAATCCCAGCACTTTGGGAGGCCGAGGTGGGCGGATCACGAGGTCAAGAGATCAAGACCATCCTGGCCAACATGGTGAAACCCGTCTGTACCTGTAGTCCCAGCTACTCGGGAGGTTGAGGCAGGAGAATTGCTTGAACCTGGGAGGTGGAGGTTGCAATGAGCTGAGATTGTGCCACTGTGCTCCAGCCTGGCGATAGAGAGAAACTCTGTCTCAAAAATCAATCAATCAATCAGTAAGTAACCCCATCTCTTTGGGAGGCTGAGGCAGGTGGATCATCTCAAGTCAGGAGTTCAAGACCATTCTGGCCAATATGGTGAAACCCCTTCACTACTAAAAATACAAAGATTAGCTGGGCGTTGTGGCATGCACTTGTAGTCCCAGCTACTTGGGAGCCTGAGGCAGGAGAATCGCTTGAACCCAGGAGGTGGAGGTTGCAGTGAGCCAACCACACACGCCACTGCACTCCAGCCTAGGCGATGAACCAGACTCCATCTCAAAAAACAACAACAAAAAAAGACCTTGCCCTTGGGTTGGGTGCATTCTCGAGCTTCACAAGGTGTCCTCAGCTTTTGCTGGCTTTACTGCTAGTGGTCCCAGGGCATGGAAAGAGCTGCTTTCTTCAGGCATTCCCGCAGGAGTTTCAGAATCCCATCTCATTGGCCTGGCTTGGATCACATGTCAGTCCTTGAGCCAGCTGTGGTATCTGGGGGATGAAGTGCACTGATTATCTAGGCCTGGGTCACCCCAAAACTAAAAAGAGTGATGCAGCTAGGAGAAGAAAGGGAGTGGATGCTACCTGGACAAAAATAAGAGATGTCCCAGCTGACAGATGGGCCCTGATGGGTTCAGATGGCCCAGAGTGGTGGTGTCATGTTCTCTGTAGGCCACTAGGGAGGTGTCAGCAAATGGAAGGGACAAAAATCCTTGCCTTGGCCGGGCATGGTGGTTCACGCCTGTAATCCTAGCACTTTGGGAGGCTGAGGCAGGTGTATCATTTGAGGTCATTAGTTCGAGACCAGACTAGCTAACCTAGCGAAACCCCATCTGTACTAAAAATATAAAAATCAGCCAGGTGTGGTGGTGTGCACCTGTAATCCAGCTAATAGGGAAGCTGAGGCAGGAGAATCACTTTAACCCAGGAGGTGGAGGTTGCAGTGAGCCGAGATCACGCCACTATACTCCAGCCTGGGCCACTGAGCTGATATTTCGTCTCAAAAAAAGGAAAAATTCTTGCCTTTATGGTGCTTATGTTTCCATAAAAGAGAATTTACAGAACAATTACATCAACCCAATTATATGTTAGACAATGATTCATGCTATGGAGAAAACCAAATAGTCGGGTCAGGGGATGAAGAGGAATGGAGGGGATTAGGTAAGGTGGTGAGGGTGCAGTTTTAAGTAAGATGCTCAGAGGAGGCCGCCCTGAGAGGTTACCTGAGCAGGTGCTTGAAGGCCGTGAGAGGTGAGAGGTGAGCCATGTGAGTCTGTGGGGCAGAGGCCAGGGGCAGAAGAGGCCAAGGAATGGCTTGTGCAGAGATCCTGGGGTGGGAGCATTGGGAGCATGCCAGGCTGGCCTGAGAACCAAGGAGGCCAAGAGGGAGGCAGTGGGACGAGCCAGGGAGAGGGGCAGAAGCTGACATGACCAGAGATCGCTGTGGCGTTTGGGGCCACTGGAAGGACTTAGGCTTTGACTCTGACTCTGAGGGCAGGAGGGGCCACCAGAGGGCGTTGAGCAGAGGAAGGAGGTGATCCCATGTGGAATTTAACAGGCTCTGTGTTGAGACTAGACTGTCGGGTCGGGGTGGAGCCCCAGGCCAGTGGCTGCACTTCCGGTGAGAAGGCAGGGGTGGCGTGGCGCCAGGAAGGTGGTGGAGATGGTGAGAAGCTACCCAGGATGGATGAGGGCTTTAGATTCTCAGGATAGATGTCAAATCATACACCAGTGGTCTTTGACGTGTCCATGCACACGGCTTACCTTTAGGGGGTGAGGCACTCACTGGTGGGGAGGGGCTGGGGGCTGTGTCTGGCTCCCCTAGCAGCCTTATTTCTCCTGTGAATTAACCTCTTAGCTTTCTGATTCCCTTTCTAGCCTCTCCTAAGTTTCTTTCACATGAGTCAGCTTCTCTGAGCGAGATTAGCCCTGGGACACTGATTAGGTCTATCCTGCCAGGCTGACCAGACCCAGTCAGCTTACTCACCTTGCAAGAGCTCCGGCCAGCAGCGCCCCAGCCCCGTCCTGGACTCGCCGGGCTGTAGTACAGATGCCTGCCATCCTTGTGTCCTGGAAAGTAGCTGGGCTGGGAGTTGGGAGCAGCAGTGCTAAACCTTCAACAGATGATGACCTCGGGCAGACTGTTCAGGTGCTTTGCAGATATTAAGTCCCACAGTCTGCATAACAGCTCTGTGAGGTGGGTTGTTATCCTCATTTTATAGATGAGGAACCTGAGGCATGGGGAAGGAAAGTAGCGTGCCCAGGGTCGCTGGCAAAGTGAATTGCAGAGCTGGGACTCAGCTAGCTCTCTGCAGTCAAAGCACCTACTTTATGTCTTTTTATACATTGCTCATGGGGGAATGCGTATACTTTTTTTTTTTTTTTTGAGGCAGGGTCTCATTTAATTGCCCAGGCCAGAGTGCAGTGGTGTGATCATGGCTCACTGCAACCTGATTTCCTGGATCTCCTGAGATCCTTTTGTCTCATCTCCCAAGTAACTGGGACCACAGATGTATGCCACCATGCCCAGTTAATTTTTTTTTTTTTTCTAGCTGTGGGATCTCAGTGTGTTGCTCAGGCTGGTCTCAAACTCTGGGAATCAAGCCAAACTCCCACCTTGGCCTCCCAAAGTGCTGGGATTATGGGCGTGAGTCACTGTACTCAGCCTAAATGTGTATATGTTTAACCCAACAGTTTTACCTCTGGGAACTTATCCCATTTGGAATAGCAAACTATAAGAAGCAACTCCAGTGGCCAATAGGGAGCTTGCTAAATAAATTATGGTGTGTCTGTATAGCGGAGTGCTAGTGGCTCTGTGAAATGAGGATGGGCTTTGTGTACCCACAGGGAAAGATCTCTGGAGGAGGTATTATTAAGTGGAGGAGTCAGGATTTAGGGCAGCTATGGAATGTGTCACCTTTTATGTATGAGGGGAAGAAAAGGCTGGGCATGGTGGCTCACACCTGTAATCCCAGCACTTTGGGAGGCCAAGGT